TTTGGCATTTGGCTAGCTGGAAGTAGTCACTGCATATGTTGAAACAGGTTTAAAAGATTTCCACCTTGAGCCAGCAGTTGCTTAAGAGCATGAGCTCTGAGCAACAGGGCTGCCGGTTCAACTCCCACATGGGCCAGTGAGCTGTGCCAGAGCTGAGCTGCCTCTGAGCTGCTGGTGGGTGGCCGGATGGCTCAGCTGGTGAGAGAGGGTGCTCTTAACAACAAGGTTGTTAGACTCCTGCATGGAATGGTGGGTTGCACCCCCCCACACACACAATTAGATTGAAAATGGCGACTGGACTTGGAGCTGAGCTGCGCCCTCCACAACTAAGACTGAAGGACAACAACTTGACTTGGAGCTGGGGTCCTGGAAAAACACAATGTTCCCCTTCCCCAATTCCCCAACACTGTTCCCTCCCCCAATTCCCCAATAAAATCTAAAAAAAAAAAAAAATTTCCACCTTCAGCTCCTGAAGGCTCTCTTGTTCTTTGTGATGGGTTCTTTTATTTCAGACTCTAAATGACTAAATGACATTAACGTATGAATTTTGCATATGTGCCACAAAGTCTTCTTCTTGCCCAAAATCACTCTTCAGAGTTTGCCAAGTGAGCGTTATGGGGTTGGGTATGACAAACTCAACAGCATCTCTTGGTGGCGCTGGAGAACTCTTTCCTAAGGAAAAAGCCAGCGTGTCACCCACAGCTTGGTGTGGCAGTCAGAGCCAAGAAGGGCTTTGGGGAAACAGGGCAGGACATGAGAAAAGCCAACTGATCCCTTCCCGTGGGTCTCTTGTGACCCGGCCTCCACAACTGACCTACTTCTGGGGCTTTCTGACTCACAGCTTGGGAAGAATCAAGGGAAAGCACTTGCCAAATTGAGCACAACAGCTGCTTCCTGCTTAACTGTTTTTTGAATGGAACATCTCACTTCTTTTTCTCAGAACACGTTTGGCTGTAAGAAGGAAGAGAAATGCCATGGTGAAAATAGTTTTTTCATTGTAGGGGAAAAAAAAAAAAGCCCTAATAGTCAAAGAAGATAGGGATTTGGTTTCTTTATTCCATTTATTAAAGACCATTAACAGAAAAATAAGCATTTATTTTCCTCAGAAGTTAACAACTATTCATTTACTTAAGTCAGTAGCAGCTCTCTCAGTCTACAAGAAAGTTATATAATAACAATAATGCACATAGTACTTAACATGTGCCAGGCGCTTTTCTTTTACATATTTAGTCATTTCCTTCTTAAAACGACTCTGTGAGGTAGGTCTTATTGTATCCATTTTACAGATGAGGAAACTGAGGCACAGACAGGTTAAGTAGTATGCCAAGTCATACAGCTAGCATGAGGCAGAGTCAAGATTTAAACCAGGGGAGTGGGTTTCTGAAGCTGTGCTCTTAGCCACTATAACACACCTGGATGTTTACTAAAAAGTAGGAAGAAAAATCCTTGCCTTTTCACAGGCAGATATTCACTAATCTGTAAGTATATTAAAATACAGTTTTTACCTAATTCTCCAATGTGAAATATGGGTAATTAAAAAATACACAGGGGCATTTTTTGAGCATTTTGAGCCTTGCCTCTGCTCGGGGCCGCTCCAAACTCTTTGGAGTGTACTTTCTTTTCTAATAATGGCCCTTGAGCCATTCTCTACTACTGTTGGGGCATGCTTCTGTTTCTTTGAAATGTATTTTTTTCTTTGAATAAACTCCTTTTCTGCAACTTAAAAAAAAAATACACAGAGCCTGCAAACTTGCTTACTTTTATGAATGGTTCTAAGCAAAGAAAACGTTTTATGGGTTTAAACAAGTCAAATGCATAAACTATTCTGTCTTGTGGAAACTTGATGGTGGCCTGTATGTACACTATCTCTTCTCTACCAGGAAGACATAGCAATGGAGTTGTGTGAAGACATTATTATTATTATTATTATTATTATTATTATTATTTAGGAAAAGGGAATTAAGTCAAATTAGATCAAAGGTAAAACATCCCTGGAATTAGCTGAGAAAGAAATTGGGAAAAATATGAGAAGAACCCAATGGGACTTGGTTTCCACAATTCTCATATTTAACCATGAAATTAAAATTAGGTGCATGGCTAGATTTTCATGGTCATAAACAGATTAGTCAGTGCATTCCAAAGAGTTCACACACTCTTCTTTCTACTCCCTTTAAAATTTCACTGTCTGAAGGAACTGAGAATTGTGACCACTGAATAAATTCACTCATTTATTAAATAATGGGTAGAAAGAGTTAAGTACTGACTCAGAAGAAAGACAGGAAACATGGTAAATGTGGGTGGGTAAAGGCATTACAAAGTTTGCAAATGAAACCAAATCTCCAAAACACGATGATTTTGCTAAACTATTGTAACTTAGAAGAGAAAGGAAGACACCCCCATGTGATTTTTTTTCATTTTTTTCTTCTCTAGTCAGAACTCCATCCAGATGTTTTGCAGCCTTAAGCAGCCAGTAGAAGAAAATTTTTTAAAACAATAATTGAAAAAGTAAACTCACCAAGACACAAATGCATAAAAGGGATATTTATAATGTAACATTTATTAAACTAGCTTGAAAAACAGGATTATTTTAAATTACTGCATTTCAATGCATGAAAGGAATGGTCCACAGTAAAACAAAAGTAATATTTCCAAGAATGTTATTTTGCTACCTCTAGTGCTGTATGCATTTTCAGCCTTTGACATCTGTCATTATCACCACAACCAACAGAGTTGTTCAAAATAAAGTTTTGACTCAAACTGGACTGGAGATATAGATGGGAGTGAGATAAACTCAAAACCAGAAAACCAACACTAATAACCAGTAAAAGTGTTTTTCTTGATATTTATATATTTACACAGTAAAGCTAAAACCAATTAGTCATTATGTACATGCTTAGTTAATATTAGTACATCACATTTACATATATATGTGTGTGCATTCATAATAATCAAGTAAAAAAGATAAATTTTAAATTATTTTTATTTATGAAAAAATATAAAATGTGACTGATACATACCTCGAGTGCTCGTTCAATACTCAGTGCTTAAAAATATTTGGAAAATAATTCCAAAATATATTTTGATGGAAGATATTATAAGTGAGGACATAAGGAAATGAGTGTTAGAAGTGATTTTAATAAGTAGGGGAGGTGAGCGGGAAGAAGTTGTACATCTAGGCAGGAATCACACAGCATACACCAGACGAAGAATCAGAAATGAAAGACGTACAATTTTTCCCAAGGTCATTTTCACGTGAAATTGAACAGAACCAAGGTACTTCCAGGATAGCGTAAATGAACTTAAGGTTCGAGTTCATACTAGAAGCCAATGCGGAGCTGACTTCCTCCCTAGAGCATCATTAGAAAACATGCCTTGGACATTTGTCCTACAGCACGCTATAACATCAGTTCTTTATTTGGCTTCTGTTAAGGGCGCAAGGGCCTCACACAACTTCAGTCGGTATCTGCCCTTACTGAAGAAACACCGTTATGGCATCCACCATCTTCCCAAACATGGGCTGGGTTGAAATGCGTGGACCTTGAGTTTCTTCTTCCTCTAAAAGCTGAGGTCCACAGGGATGGGGACAACGCACCCCAATGATGAGGGCCCCCGAGTCTTTCCCAGCGCGCGTCCCCTTGGGTCGGCGCGGGATGGCCCCGGCCCGCCTGCTAGTTGAGGCAGGGGCAGCAGCAGCAGCAGATGGCCCGGCAGGGGTTCTTCTTCTTGTACTCCACGGCCTTGCGCATCTGCTTCTTGGCCTGGCCCGTGTAGTCGAGGGTCTTCTCCACGTTGAACTCGATGACGTTCAGCGTTTCGGCCTGCTCCTCCACCAGGATGGCCATCTGCAGGAAGAGGTCGTGGACGTCGCGGATGCGGCTCTCCAGCCGCAGCAGCTCGCGGTGCCGGCTCTCGATCTCGTTGAGGGCCGCCCGCGCGCCCTTCACGTCGGCCAGCAGGTTCTCGGAGAACACGTCCCACTTGCCCTGCTCGAACATGTCCTCGATCTGGTCGCCCGAGACGTCCTTGCCCATGATCTCCAGCTGGCGCTGGATGCGGATCTTGCAGTTGTCGCGCTGCTTCATCTCGGCCTGGTTGTACTCGTGCATGGCGCGCTGGAAGGTGCGGGTGAGCGCGCTGTACTGGGCGCGCGCGATGCGCGCCACGGCCGAGTGCGGGCCGTGCTGGGCCTCGGCCTCCTCGCCCAGCGCCTTCATGGCGCGCAGCTTGCGGTGGATGCTCTCCCCGCGAGCCTTGATGTCCTTGGCGATGGAGTTGGTGTCTCGCTTGATGCTGCTGAGACGCCGCATGGACGTGAGGAAGCGGGCGTTCTGCTTTCCCAGCCGCTTCACGTCGATCATCAACTGCTGGTTTTCATACTGGAGGTCCTGGATATCCCGGTACAAGGACTCCAGGATGTGGTCCGTCTCAAACACGATGTCCTCGTGGAGAGAGTCAAACTCGTCATCCCCGTCTGGGACCTGCTGGTCATTCTGCTTGGATAGCTCCAGAAGGTCTGATAGCCGGTCCTTCATTTTGCCTGCAAGCAGAGACACTGCGGTTAGATTCCTCTAGTGAGAGTCAAATATTTGCACTGAGGGAAATAAAGCTTAAAATAAAGAAACATTCTGCTCGTTGTTCCCAATTCTTTCGTCCTGGCTATAGGTAATAAATGCACTAAAGGAGCTAAATGTTCTATGACAATTTGCTTACAAGCAAAGGACTAATGTGACTGACAGTCATGAACAGTGGTATTTGATAGCCTGTAGGTTCCTGCAATTCAATATTATAAGTGCCCAGAACTCAATCAGCAACTAAAAGTTTTAGACTGCACTGGGAACCAATCTCTTTTACTTGCTTTAAGTTCTCCAATAATCACAAATCACAATAGACAGAAAAATGAAAAAAATAGAAGAGACTTTCACAGATAAAGTTTTGGTTTTTTTTAAAGATTTTATTGGGGAATTGGGGGAGGAGAACAGCCCTGGGAAATCGGGAAGGGGAACAGACAAGTTGCTGTCCTTTTGTTCTTCAGTCTAGTTGTGGAGGACATCGCTTCACTGGCCCATGTTGGTATTATCATTGTGCT